ACAACTCTGGAGTAGTGCCAGATGCAGCATGGCCCTCCAGATAAACCCTGTAAGTATCACTGCAGCTTCAGTACAGATATCTGACTCTGAATAGGGTTTTCTGACAAGTTATACTTTCCCCTAGCAGTACTTCATTCTACACTATTTTTTTTTCTTAATTCTGTTATGAGATCTTTATGTGAAAAATAATGGAATTAAAGAAATCAAGGCACATGACATTTGCTCCTTCTGCCCCTTTCCCACAGGCTCTCTAGCCTGATGCAGAAGGAAACCAGCTTGGTCTGACCAACTCTGCATATTAGCTGAGCTCCCTGTTATTTTCCAGGCACTTCCTAATTGTTTAGTTTCTTGCTGCAATATTCTCCAGGAATAGAAGTGAGGCTGACCAGGCACAGGACAAAATTTAGGAAATCACAGGCTAGTACCAGAAACACGCTTGCATTTGGTCTAAGCCCATGCAGCCAAGGAGCCTGAGCAGCAGCCCTGCAGCCAGGAGCACAGCTCTTGGAGGTAGGTGGGAAGGCACAGATGTGAACAGCATTGCTGCTGGCTGGTGCTGAGCCAGAGGCAGGTAGCACGGGCTGCCAGGTCCTGAGGAGCACCTGCCAGGTACCTGTGATACCTCAGGAGCATCATCAGCAGCTGTGTGGGAGCAGAACTGTGGGGAGCATTCAGAGCTGTACTGCTAATGATGAAACACTGCAAGCACTCGGCACCAGGAGAGCAGCTGTAGGGCCAAACCCTACCAGAGGGAGTGCAGCAAAGAGTTTTGCATGGGCTGCACTGCTGGGTGGGGCTGTGGCCTGGGGCAAATGCTGAGGCTTCTACTGTCACGAGACAAAGACCCTGGGAGAATAAGAATGTCATGGATAACCTCCTCAGGTGGGTCCCCATAAGGACCTCACCTCAAGCAGTCTGGTGAGAAGGCTGACTGTGTGTCACATCCAGTCCTGAGGTCCCTTTGGCACTCCACAAAGAGTGCCCAATCCCACAGGGTGACGCATGCACAGTGCTTCAACATGGCCGAAGTTCCAAAGACAAAGCTTTTGAGTGAAATTGAATAACAGCAAATATTTAAATAAAATTATAAGCTACCATCACCTTTCTTTTTTTTTTTTTTTTTTTTTTTTTTTTTCCAGAATGTATATATATATATTTTTCTTCAGAAACCAGCATAGGCAGCAAATTCAGAGCAAGGAAGCGGATAAAGCCAGCACAAACAAGAAGTTATAAAATGCAGGAAACTAAGGGGATTTCAGAGACATCAATGAAGTATCTGTGAACAAAGCTGTTAAGGGAAATGTGAAGCTGTTTAATTACCCTGGGGCCAAACATAGTCCCAGCAGTGACGGAGGCCAGTGGTAGACCAGTGTGGGAGAGTGACAAGGCTATGGATTACAGAGCTGTAATTAAGTAGTCTGATCTCCCTGGGATTGGGCTAAGCACCGCACAGGATGAATTCTGGTCTGGACTAGGGCAGGACTGAGGATGATTTTTAAAAAAGACAAAGATGAGAAATCTAAATCCATCATGATAAGCTATTCTACGAGGCAGTTAACTAGTAGATTAATTACCCTTGCTATTAAAAATGTATTTCTAATCTGTGTTTTCCCAGCTTCAATTTCCAGCCATTGGACCTAGTTTTGACTCTAAGTGCCAGTCAGAAGAACCGGCAATGATGAATAAATTCTGCACCTGCCGCACACCTTACCCCTCTCATCAGAAAGTTTGGTAATGCACAGCTGAGGACCACGGGGATGTCCTGGCGGAGTGTTGTCAGCCCTCCCTGCCCAGGACCACAGAACAAGCACCTAGAACTGCATGCCAGACTGCCAAGGATGAACCACAGGTGTGTCCGCCCACTGCATTGCCCAGCTTTCTACTGTCACGCATCACTGGCAATCCATCACTCTCTCATTCATGGCTCTTCTTTGAACCCTGCCCAGTCGATTCTTGTTGTTGTTGTTTGTTTGTTTGCTCTTTTAAATGTGAACCCCAGAGCAGGATTCCCCTGCGGCAGAGATTCCAAAGATTGCAGTGTCTGGGCACCTGCCCCAGGTTCTTGTGTATAAAAACAAGAATCCAATATATATTTCTGCTCTGTGTTTGAAACAGAAACGATGGCTAACATTCATATTTTACAGTGGTAATGATATACTGTCTATTCCATCAGTAATTAAGGAAGATGATGAAGAGAAACTAAGTAAAAAGTTTTATAATCTGCAGGAGGATAACCTGCATCCAAGAGATTTTAATTGGCTAATCAGTTCAGTGAAACACATTTTTTTTTCTTTATGACAAATCACAGCACACTGAGGAACTTAAGATAACTGTGAAAAGGAAAATCCAATGTCTTACCAGTATTTAAATGTTATCACATGGGTATCCAAGAAACTGTAGAGCAGTTAGTTCAACATAGATTCCAAGCAATCATACATAAACAGACAAGGGATGTTCTGGTTAAAGTAGTAAAAGCTAGAGCCCCAATGAATATTATTTACCATTTTAAGTAAAAGAGGTATTTACAAATGTTTGTTGTTGTTTCGTTGTTGTTGTTGTTGTTTTGGTGGTGGTAGGTTTTTGGTGCTGTTTTTTGTTTGATTGTTTGTTTTTAATAAATCTACAAGTTTGATAGAGCTAACTACATAGATATGACATGCTTGGACTCCTGCAAGTCATCTGACTTAGCTCTGCATGATATTCTACTAAGAAAAATTATCTGTCTGCTACAGTCCATGTGATCAGTATTAATGGGCTTGAAGGAACTGAGTAACTGAGAAGAGTTATTCTATATAATTCTTTGACAGGTATATTCCTAGCTGCATTCTATTCACATCAATGCTATACATTATTAGCAATCAGGGAGAAAATAAATAACAGTTTCCGGTAGAATTATTGAAGTGGTAAAAATGAAATGTTGGGATGGCAAAAGTATTAGGTGACACTTGCCTAAGACAACCTAACTGCATTACTTGAAACATCAGGGTCACAAAAAACCTGCTTCATTATATCTAAGTAATAGGTGTAACATATAAGCAAGAAGAATGTAGAGTTCATTTAAAACAGAGACTGCATCAAGTCTGAGAAAAAATTAGAGGTTTGGACATATGTCATCTGAACACATGAGGTGCTGAATGGGAGTGCGTCACTGCCAAAGCACCCCCTCCTGTACTACATATCATAGAATCAAAGAATGGACTGGGTTGGAAGGGACCTCAAGGATTATCCAGTTCCAGCCCCCTGGACACAGGCAGGGACGCCACCCACTAGATCAGGTTGCCCAGGGCCTCATCCAACTTGGTCTTGAACACCTCCAGGGATGGGGCATCCACAGCCTCTCTGGGCAACCTGTGCCAGTGCCTCACCACTTTCTGAGTGAAGAATTTCCTCCTAACCTCTAATCTAAATCTTCCCTTTTTTAGTTTAAAACCACTCCCTCTTGTTACTATCATTATCTATCTAATAAAGAGTCCTTCATCCTTTTTATAAGCCCCCTTTAAGTATTGAAAAGCCACAATGAGGTCACCCCGAAGCCTTCTCTTCTTTAGGCTGAACATCCCCAGCCCTCTCAGCTTTTCTTCACAGGAGAGGTGCTCTAGCCCTCTGATCATCTTTGTGGCCCTTGTAAATCAAGAACTGTCAAATACAAATCTAAAGTTCCTGAGGCTACTTTATCTGCACTGCTAAGAATAACTCTCACAAAACCATAGTGCAATCCCATTTGAACGCTGGGCACAGTTCTAGTCTCCTCATCTCAGAGTGATGATGCACTAAGTTCAGTGAAGGGACAGGGAAGTTCTGTGCTTGTGGTTCAGGGGTGGGTGACAGTTTCTACAGTCAAATAGAATTCCAGCCTGAGTAAGGAGAAACATGATGGTGATCTGTAAAGTCGACTAGTATGAAGAAGATCATAGACTATTGTGACTAGAGTTGCCCACAGATTCTTTGAATGTAAGAGTTAAAAAGCATCCAATGATACAAGGTGACAGCATGAAGACAAATAAAAGGAGGGGATCAACACAATGTGCAAATAAGATATGAACTTTTTGCTACAAGGATATCATAATTCTCAAACTTACATGGGTCCAAAAAACTACTGGTTAAATTTATGAAAGAGGAAAAAAAAAAATCTAGGGCTGCTAAATATGTCCTTCCTGACTCAAAAGTACCTGGAATGCAAATTACGGAGCTTGGGACTTGAGGGTCGGTATTCCTAGGAAAGGGCTTTTCCATGCTTGCTTTGTCTTCATACCCTTATATAAATACCAGAATGGGTTATTTAGTCCATTCAGTGTGTCATGTCATGCTTTTTACTGGGAAATGGAAAAATGAGGTGAGAGTCAAACAGATACTTGAGACCAGGAAGCCTACAGGGAGATATTTGGTGGAGATTGATCTTTCAGATTTGGGGGTGCTGACTGATTCTTACCTGCACATGAGCCAGCAGCGTGCCCAGGTGGTCCAGAGAAGGGTTACATGTCCAGAGAAGAGCTATGAAGCTGGTGAAGGGTCTGGAACCCAAGTCCTATGAGGAGCGGCTGAGGGAGCTGGGGTTGTTTAGTCTGGAGGAGACCTCATTGCTCTCTACAACTATCTGAAAGAAAGGTATGGGGAGATGGGGTTGGCAGTCTTCTTGAAGATAACTAGTGATAGGACTAGAGGGAATGGCCTCAAGTTGTGCCAGGGGAGCTTCAGGTTGGAAAATAGGAGACATTTCTCAGAAAGAGCAGTCAGGCTTTGGGACGGGTTGCCCAGGGGGGTAGTGGAGTCATCGTTCCTGGGGTGTTTAAGGAAAGGTTGAACGTGGTGCTTAGGGACAGGGTTTAATGGTGACATTGTTGGTAGGGGGATGGTTGTACCAGATGATCTTGGAGGTCTTTTCCAACCTTAATGATTCTATGACTGTATGAAGGGGATAGTAGGAATATGCAATGCTTTGACTGCAACAGAGAGGGGCAGCATGAGACCCAGTGGCTTCAGCTAGGATGGAAACTTCTGTCTAGAAATGGGATGCTTCTTTTTTTTTTTTTCTCCTGGGCATAGCATGCACAGGGGACATGGCTCGTGGCCGTGGGCTCATGTTACTTCAGCCAGTCACGAGGGTGTCTCTTGCTGACTGCTCTGCCCAAAACCCCAGGTGAATGCCAAAGCAGAAACAACAGCGCATACCCTAAAGACATTCCCAGTGACCCTTAGATTCAGTCCTATCCCATCCTTACGAAGATGATACTATCTTAGTGGCCGAGTACACATTATTGAACAAACACTACTGCAGGACAGTGCTGGAAAGAAGGACAGTAAGCCAGCCCCACATGCACTGGTCTGCAGGCTGTTTTCATGCCAAGGCTATGGGACCTGCTCCCATAAACAGATCACCCTGAGCAGCCATGTGAGTATGGACAGCTGGGAGGTGGTGACTTCAGGCTGGATTCCTGCTCTGGTTCAAGGCAAATGCATTCCCGATGCATTGTATGAGTAAGGGTTATTACCCAGGGTATTCCAAAGCTTTCACTCCCTGCTCCCCTCATCCCTGTTTTGCAGACAGTCTTAGTACATCACCTCAAGCCAGTATCTCACATCCCTGCCCACAGGTGTCATAAAGCAGGTTGCTGATCCTTTTTGTTATACCATCTCTACAGTGAGTGTATTACCCGGACACAGACTGTCAACACCAGCTTCCCGGCACTTTGTGAGCATAGGACCACACGTTCCTATTGTATCCCATTAGCATTCATGCTGTGGTGCATCACTGGTGTGCATGCACTAGGAAACTCACATTGTTATTTCAAGCTTGCTACTTCAGAGCAGCATGGACTAGCTGTGCAAAGAGGTGATAATTAGGGGAGTAGAGCTATACCCTGTATCCACACAGATGCAGAAAAAGACAGAAGCTCTGGGTATGTCAAACTGCTTAGCCTTCAGATATGTGTGTTCCAGTGCCCTGGTGTTGATGTGGACATTAAGAGGCCTCAGAAGACCAGTGCACAAAGAGGAGCACATTGTAGGGCTGTCCTAGTGCATCTCCTGCCAGCCAGCAGCAGTTCAGGCATTCCCTGAGGCAGAAGCAGGAACAGGATTAGCTTCCAGGAAATTGTTAAAGGCTGGTTAGTGCTCTGATCTCTTTATAACCTCAAATTTAAATTGCAGAAGCAAATGTTATCCTTTACCTTGTTCACAGTGCAGCACAGCCCAGGCACCAGCATGTGGCCTTGCATCAGGCTCTGGCAGACGCTGGCTGGGCTGTCACAGGGGCCATCTGCTCTGTACCCAGGGGACTACTGCTCTCAGAGTGCACATCCTACTCACCCCAAACCCAAGTGCCCAGTACTGGCACGAGCACTGTTGTCCTGCCCTAAGCAGGACAACCTCAGACATTGCAACTGCATGGGAAGTGTTTGTTTCGGAGGCCTCGGTCCTACACCCATCACATTTGTTTCTGGTCCTTTGAAGAGCGGGTGAATGCATAGGTCTGAGTGCACCTGCTGCTACACAGGGATAGTCTCATGGCGAAGCCCTATCAGGCAATCTTCAAGGCAAGGCAGAAGTTGTACTCTGGTAGGCATAAAGACTAGGGTTTATTCCAAACTCCCTTGTGTACAAACTGTAAACTACTTGACAAAAGACAAGTTCCCAACAAATGCCCAGGGCAGCAGAGCCTCCTGGTTCAGTTAGAATTTGTAGATCTGAGAAAAACTGAGATCAATCCAGCACATTTGCTCCTGGTCCCACAAAATGCCCTAATCCTCATCTCTTGCTTTTCTTAGTGAGTCCGGAGCTTGTCTTCTTTAGGCTGGGTGAACAGAATGCTCCAAAATGGGTGCAGGAGACAGAGCACAAGGCTGGCGGGGACAGCAGCAGGTTTGGCAGAGGGGGGCTGACACAGTATGGCAGGAGGGAAGGGGTTATCTGGAGAGGCACAGGCTGTGCTGGTAGGGGTGGAACATCTGCACAGAGAGACAGTGGGACTCAAACCCCAGCCCTTAGTAGAGAACATCCTCAAAGCCGAGCAGCAGGAACCGGTGCAAGGTGCTTGGCAGGTACAGCTGGGACAGGACTGGAAGCAAACGGCCCTCCAGGAAGGTTCTGAGTGCACAGCGAGCCAGGTGCTGCAAGGAGCGAGGTCTTTGCTCCAGCGAGAAAAGTGACTGGTAGAAACGTGGGTATTTCTACGGGGAGAGAAGAGAGGATGAGATGCAAAGCTGAAGATCCTACTCTGGGAGCAGAGGCAAAGCCAGGCAGTCCATTGCCTCAGCTACCCAGGTGCGCCCTTCCTACCCCCAACAGCACTGCCCTCTGCCCTGCAAAGCACTCAGCCTAGCCTGGCCCTGTCCTAATTCCCCCAGCACATCCCACGATGGCCTCCAGCCAGCAGCGTGCCTTCTCTCACCTGCACAACCTCCGCTGGAACCTGCCTCCACCCAGTCTGCGGAGACACGCACATGGTCATAGCTGTTCATCAGGACCTCGATGACACGCGGGCAGGCGTGGCAGTACCGCAGCACCTGCACCAGGGAGACAGCGGGTGAACCCAGCTCCGCAGGACACACTGCTGTCTTCTAAAAAGCTGCACATGCTCCAAAACAACCTCGGTAAATCTGGAGAATGAGCATCCTTCCTTTAAACCGCCCTGGGAGATCAAAGCCACTGATGGTGGAAAGCACCAGAGCACTGCTCCTGCAGCCAGGGCGACCCCCCAGCCACACGGCTGGGCCCTGCAGCCTCTGCTCAGGGCAGGGGCTGATGCATGGGGCCGGGATGCAGCGCCCTTCACCTGCCCTACCACTAAAAGCAGCTCACAAGCAACCACCTCCCTGCTCCTTACCTCGCATCTGGTCAGAACAAGAGCTGTCTGGGGCAAGGACAGACCCCCCATTTTGTGTGCAGCTCCTGCTACAACATACCACGCCTCTCACGAGGGCTACGCAAGGGTCTCAGGGCTGTGTTGTGCCTGTTCTGCACGAGGCTGCAGACATCCTGTGCCTGTGCTGTGCACGCTGGTAGTCCCAGTGCTGTGCTCATCAGCTACTACACCAAGCCCCAGAGAGAAACCACAAATATTTCATGTGATACAAACCTCTGTTGTGTACCATGCCCACGTTTTCACAACATAGGTGCAACGAACACACTGTGTTGGTGTCTCTTATGCCACCAGCACGGTCTTGGGAGCACACCCCACCCATGCATAGCTGCACCCAGCAGAGCCCCCGCGGGTCTTGGTTCCCACTCCCTATGGCCCAGGCCAGCAGTAGCTGTCAGAGTCTATTCCGGCTGTACGAGTGATCCTCATTATCTGGCGTTAATAGGAGATTAATTAGTGTTAATTGTTGATTTTCCTGTATTTTCCCAAAGGGGAGAGCAATCTGCTGATCTCCGGGCTGGGTAATTATTGCACTGCTCAGGAATTAAGACAAGAAATTAACCCTTTGTTTGCTGATGTCTTGCTGAGGCAGCATGAGCTGGAGGGTACGCCCCAGAGAGGAGAAACACCACCTGAGAGTAAGGGGGCTGGCACTTTCTAGGGCAAGTGATTATGGAAACTGTATAGGGACTGCCCATACAGCTTGGCAGACAAGTGTGGGAGTGCCCTACAGAAGAACACACTCTTGGACAAAACTTCAGGGAATCCTTTACCAGTAACACCCCTTCCCTCTCCCCCTGTCCTCGGAAGAGTCAGGAAGGACAGCAAGCAAGCTGGATGCAGAACAAGCACTGCTGTGACAGGCACGTCCTTCTTCTCACTGATGCCCCAACACTCATAGCTTTCCCTTCCCACCACATGCCCAGTAGAGCTGTGAGCCCTGCACCTTGAGGAGGGAGCCAGGCCAGATGCGGATGGCACCGTAGTTGAGCAGGGCTTGCACCACAAGCTCCGGATGGTGATCTAGCTTGTATGCAGTTGCTTGCAGGATATTGTGCAGTGCCGTGTTCCCACTGTAGTTCATGATGTTGACGTGTGCACCCCGGGCCAGCAGTAACTCTGCTACTTGAGCATTGGCATTCTTGCAGGCCAAGTGAAGTGGGTGCTGACGGTCCCTGTCTGCAGCGTTGATGCTAGCACCACTTTCCACCAGCAGCTGGCAGACCCTGTAGTAGCGCTCCATGTCCTGGGGCTGGTGGGGCTGAGCACAGGCAGCATTCAGTGGCGTCTGCCCCTCCTCATTCTTTGCCTCCAGCTCTGCCCCATGGCGCAGCAGCAGGCGGACGTGGTCTATTAGGCCGTGCCGTGCTGCCACATGCAGTGCTGTGTCACATTCCTCTTCTGTCCGACTGTTCACACTGGCACCATGCTGCAGCAGCTGCTGGACGCACCTGTGTGGGCCAAGAGCACTCAGTGATGGACTTTGCTCCCCAGCTCCCATCCTACCTGCCACCTTCCCACGTCCCCTTCTCTGTACCATCCCATGGCTTTCACATTTCCCAAGAGTCCCCAAATCCCTGCTCCTCCTACCCCGGAGCAGTGGTTTTAAGCCACTATGACTGGTTAGCAGAGACACTGTCACCCTAATTCCACCTAACTTTCCACAGGTGTTTAGTAAGTGCCAGCACACCCAGAGTCTGCACCCAAATCCATCTGCACATGCATTCCCAAAGTTTTGCAGTGTGAACCATCAGCTCTGCACTGCTGATGGGTAGCAAGGAGGCAGCACCAAGTTCAGCTGCATCAGCTCTGAGGCCTGGAGCTTGACATCATCTGTCGGACATCAGAGGTGGTCCTGGTCCAGGAGCATGCAGTGAGGCCACCCCATGCAGCAGCCATCGCTGCAACCACCGGCACACCTGCAGGGATGAGTAGTGACCCCTTCTACAAAGGATGAGGCTCAAGGAGGGGAGGCCCCTTGCAGCCTCTGAGCAGAACTCACTCGATAGATTCTGGGCTCTTGCAGAGATGCATGGGCTTGTAGCCATCCTCAGAGACAGCCTCGGGGTCAGCACCAAAGCTGAGCAGCAGGCTCACGCAGTCTGTACTGGCTGCTGCGCAAGCCTCATGCAGGGCAGTCTTACCCCCTGGTGCAAAGTTGACGGCAGCGCCCCTGAGCAGGAGGAGCCGCAGGCAATCTGTGTAGCCCCGGCTGGCTGTGATGTGCAGTGGCGTGGTGAGCTCCTGCTCATAGCTCAGAGACCACAGTCCTGCAGAGAAAGAGGGGTCAGGGAGTCACACCCAGCACTGGGCCCAGAGCTGTCCTTTTGCCCAGGGTACCCAATGTACATCCTCTCTTGAGAATCTGGGGTTTCCTCTCAAGGGACTGACTGCCTCTTCCTGCTAGTCACCAAGGTCCCTGCCTTGGGACCAGCATGTCAAAGGCACAGGATGGCTGGCGTCTGTCCCTGAGGCTGCACGGCCTTTCAGGAGCAGGAGCCTCAGAGCCAAGGCCCTTCCCAGGGGTTGGACTTTTCACCTGCAGCTCATTTATGCAGCAAAGGGCTTCTGTTGGCAGGAGAGCAGTGGATGAAGGGCCCAGGGGCACAAGCAGGGCTGAAAGCAGCAAGGTGGCTGGGAAAAGCAGCATGCACAAAGCACCACCAATAGAAGAAACAGGCAGTAAAACAAAAGGATTCCAGAGCAGGCTGCCACATACCCAGGAGACAGAGATGAGCCCTGAGTATGGCACAGGCACACAAGCCTCAGCAGAGATGGTCATCTAGGGCCTACAACAGAACAAGGGTCTGAAACCTGCCAACTCTCAAAGATGCAGACCCAGCTAGAACCACGGCTGCACTGGTGCAGTCTGCTGGCAAACAGTCTGCAGCTGCTACAGAAAAAGGGCTCCTTAAATCATGCTTCTTGCTGCCTCTCCAGGCTGGTCTGGAGGTCCTAGACTGCAGGATCATTGGACGCTGCTTTGCTCTCATCTCTTTTTTGCAGAAGCAGTATGCACCTAGTGTTTTTGTAGAGCTAGGTTCAAACTGAACCACCTCAAGGACGCAGCACAAGGCTTTGACAATTCCTTGCTCAGCACAAGCCCACAGTGAGAATCAGAAGCCCCTGTAGCCAGCACAGGCTGCCCACAGACCAGGCACTTGCTCAGTGCCAGGCTACAGGTCTGGTCACGGAGCACAACCTGGAGCCTGAATGTCCTGCATCAGGTGAGGAAACCCTGAGGTTCTCCAAAACTTGCATAAGCCCCTGCTAGAAGGGGTGGGTATGCAGGACACACCTCGCACTCCCAAACACATGCACACAGGAGGACCCAGCTACATCCCAGTACTCTGACTCCCATTCCCACTCCTTCACAGCCAAAACAAGACCCATGACACACAATCCCAGCAGCAGTAACGCCCTGTAGCATAAGCAAACGGCTCTGAACGCCTGCTCAGCAGGCCCCGCTGCCCCCCCATACTCAGCCGGCGGAAGTTGAAGCGGTAATCCTTCCACTCCTCCAGGTTGCTGGTGTCAAACACCGCATTGGGACTGAGGTGCTGAGGGCTGCTGAGGACCTCAGCCAAAGTCCCCCGGTCCCCAGCCAGCAGGGCCTGCCAATAGGCCTGTGCAGGGCCCATTGCTTTCCGCGTGCAGATGGGCTCCTGACTGCTCATCCCTTCTGCCTGTGAGGCTGCCCATGCTGCAGCGCCCAGCCTCAGCAGCAGCCAGGGCTGGCCTTGTTGCTACCTCCACTGCCAGGCTCTGAGCCTGTGGGCACAGCCACACCAGTGCCCTGTGCTCCGTGCCGAAGGGCTGCCTGCCTGGGAGTGAGGACGTGTCACATCGCTGCTTGGCCCAGGCTGGAAGCAGCTCAGGTCTCAGCCGCTCTATTCTGGGAAAGCTTGTGACCAAGTGGCTGGGCCAAGAAGCAGGGCAGGACACTCCTGACAGGCAGCAGTGCTCTGCAGCCACTGGCTGTGCAGGAGAAGCCCCCATACAGGGCAGGGCAGGGCAGGGCAGCAGCATAGCTTGTAGGGTAGAGGATGATACAGAACACCACTGAAAGGACAGAAAGGGAGTAGTCTGCATCATCATCCAGTTGCTGCCCAGACCACAACAGCACAACGCAGCTGCCTCCATGCACCCGCAGCATCCATCCACCCAGCCCTCATCTCCCTCCAGCACTGCACCCTCATTTGCTGGTTCCACCCAAGGCCATGGCACTAGACAGGTTTTTAAACAAGTCACAGGAGAGTTCTTTTTGATCAAAGCTTACAGCCAAAGGACTGTTAGAAATAGTGCAAGGGTGGGAAGGTCATTACAAGAGAAGTGAAAACATAGACGGTAATTACTCTTTAGACTTCTACCTACTTTTCCTTGAAATTCAGCCTTGCAGAGAGCTCCTGCACAGTTCTAGTACTGTTTTTTGTTTTGTTTTGTTTTGTTTTGTCCATCCTCTGACAGTTCCCTCACTGTTTTCCTTTCACCCTAAGCAGCATTTTTCCTGTCCCCACTTAGTGGCAGAAACCCATCCTGCCCCTACGTTGGTTACAGAACAGCACTCTTTGCTCACAGTTCTTGTCACCATATTTTTTTCAGACCACATATTCTAACAAACACACTAAACTGCTTAGAAGACCAGTTGTGTTTAAATTTTTGTCATAGAATTATTCAGATCTTGGAGCTAAAAACACGTTAACTGATCCCAGCAAACCACCAAGCAACAATTACATTGGAGACCAGAGAAGAGTATAAAATTGGGAACTTTACCCTTCTCAGTAATGGGAATCACAGAATGGCTGGGGTTGGAAGGGACCTCTGAAGATCATCTAGTCCAACCCTCCTGCTGGGCAGGATCACCTAGAGCACCTTGCACAGGATGGCATCCAGGTGGGCTTTTGAGTATCTCCAGAGGAGATTCCACAACCTCACTGGGCAACCTGTTGCAGTGTTCTGTCACCCTCACAGTACAGAAGTGCCCCCTCACACTGAGCCGGAACATCCTGTGCTTCAGTTTGTGGCCGTTGCCTCTCACTGAGCAAAACTGAAGAGAGACCTTTTTCTGTGCAGACTTCAGTGCTAGTAGTCTAGGTATAATGGACTGCATGAGAGGGTGAAAAGAGGGAAGCCCTTGGCAGATTTCCTTACCTCATGGGATCCTCAATTTCCCCAAAGATATAAACAGGTATACAACAAGAGAATGGGTTTCCCAATCATAAAAGCACAGCCAGGGAGTCAAAAGACTGTATGAGTTAATGCCAGTAACAGTGTACAATTTACAGCTCCTCTGGGCTCCTTAAAATATCATTAGGGATGACTCAAGAAATACCAGGTCACTAGAATCCATTTTTAAGGTCACTGTCTTGGTATGTTTTAGGAAATTGTCCCTACACATCAGAGTAAAGCGTAACCAAAGCCTTAGGTATCTTGTCTGATACATTTTGCAGTATATTTTCGGTCTGTGCTTGATGAACAAACTTGCTTGCTTGGGTTTTTCACACCTTGAATATTTGGTGATAAAAGCAATTTCTGGGTGAAGTTGTTTTACATGAACTGTCCAGTTTTATTTGGGACACAAATTTTTACAAGCAGATTGACTTGCTGTTAAAGTGTTTGTCAGCCCAATACCAGGTGTTTGTTAAAAATGTGTAATTAATAGTTTTCTGACAAGTGGTCTCACCAAGTTGTTACACCAAGGGTAATAACTTTTGTATTTTCTTCCTAAGTAGACTGTAACAATTCAAAGCACACATGTAAAAATATTGGAACTCAGCAAATAATCTTCACCACCTAAGAAGTATCAGCATTTGCATCTGCAAGCCTACCCTATCTCTTTGTCTCTTGCTAGGATGAATTCCCACAGAACTTAGTCATGATCAAGCTTTATCAATGTGCTCAATAGCCTTGTGTCAGGACACTTGAAAAGAGCCCACACTTCTGGCAAGTGGCCTTCATCAACGGCTCTTCCATTCTGACGCACTGGGGCTGTCACCATCAGCCCTCTGCATAAAACAGTGATGTAATTATGGCCCCTCAACACTTGACACTGTCTTAAATTCTGTGTGTCTGCCTGCAACACACTACTATCACGCAGCAGCAAGGACATACACACTTCCAAACTGCTAACTTTGACAGAGCCTACAACAGTTATGTTGCTTTTTGAAAAGTTTGTAGATGACACTGATGAGCATGTAAGCAAAAGGTATTGAAGAGCATAGAAGCACAGTGTGGTAGCTGCAAGATGCATTTGGGCAAGGTACGATGAGGTGCACAGATAGGAGGAAACACCAAGGATGACCTGCTTCTACCTCCTGTCACTCAGGACAGACTTGCTTCTACCATCTCTGAGATAGATGAGATTTCTGCTCACCTTCTCCAGTCCATCTCACAGAATAGAACAGCTTGATGGCTTGAGGGGTGCAAACTCTACATGTAAAAGAAAGCAAAACTAAGCTTGGTGTGAGTGCTTCTGTTCTGGAGCAAAGGTGGTGTTAACCCTCCTACATCAATCCCCCTGCAGCTTCCTAAAGGCAGTGTTTGGAGTAGGGATTGCAGTGGCTCTGCTTCACACTTTGAAGTCACCAGAGCAGAATTGTGACTTGGTGCCCAAGCAGAAGCCCACAAGGCTAAAGTGCAGCTATACCTATTACTCAGGGTACAGGCTGAGCTGTGCATGAAGGACACTGCTACAACCTGTTCCCAAAGCATGTCACAGGCTCCGGTTCCTAATGAACAAGAGTAATAGACCCAACTTAAGACACAAGAGAGAAAGAATCCTTATGCCACCTGATGTGTTCTCACCCAAGCACACTCATCACATAACACACACTTCACTTCTATCCCAGCAACCTCTAGCAGGACAGTCCTGATGTTTTTCTGCTCCTGAAGCCTTTTCAAGGACCATATTCTCACCACTTCCCAGCAGACATACCTCTGATCTCCTTTAGAAAGCTAGCTACATATTGTTGCATAGTCCTAGAATCCCCCTTCCTCATCCAAAAGCTGGTTTTTTTCCCCCAAGTCCCTCTTCCACGACCCCATCTCCACCACTGTGTGTTCCCCTCAACAGTTTTCTCGGGTGTCTGTGCTCTTTCTCTGGTCCCTGTTCACAGCATTTCCCACCACTGCTGACACATCCCAGTTCCACACACCCACCAAATTTCCTACTAGTCCAGCGCAGCTCATCACCCTTGGTCTCAATGATGAGATTAACAGCTGCGTTCCTGCTGAAGTACTTCTGCACCCTCTCCAGGTCCCCAGTGAAGAGCGCGTTCTGGACGAGCAGGTCCCGGCACTCCAGTGGCTCCGAGCGGCTTCTCAGATAACCCTGGCCAGCTGGGCTCCGGCTGCACTCACGGTGGTGGTATTGGGGTCTTACTTGTCGAGAGTACTTCCACTGATCCAGCTGCTCCTCATCCATTTGCACTGAGCGTTGTGCAGCAGAGGTGAAGGGAAAGGTGCAGTCCGTCATGTAGAATGCACAGGACAAGCCCAAACCTCACAATAAATAAGCTGCAGCCAAGAGCTTCTTGTCCAAGGCTGTGTCTTTTATGGGTCGCTCCCAAGTTCCAGATCCCCAGCGCCTGGCTGGATTCAGGCACAGGCCTGACTCACCCAGTATAAATAGTCCTGCTTGGCAGCTCCCCTACAGCACCTCCCTGCCGTCCAGGAGTTTATTTTCAGCTGCTGGATGCAGGCACCAGCACAGACAAGGCACAAGTCAGAGGCAGCAGACATACAGTTCCAAAACACCTGCCAAGGGCAAGGACACCTCTTACTAGATCAGGCTGCCCAGGGCAAAATCCAACCTGGTTTTGAACACCTCCAGGGATGGGGCATCCACAACCTCTCTGGGCAACCTGTTCCAGTGCCTCACCGCCTTCTGAGTGAAGAATTCCCTTCTAACCTCTAATCTAAATCTTCCCTTTTTTAGTTTAAAACCATTCCCTCTTGTCCAATCATTATCTGCCCAAGAAAAAATCTACTCTCCATCTTTTTTATAAGCCTCCTTCAAGTACTGAAAAGCCACAATGAGGTCACCCCGCAGTCTTCTCTGCTTTAGGCTGAACATCCCCAGCTCTCTCAGCTTTTCTTCATAGGAGAGGAGATCTAGCCCTCTGATCATCTTCGTGGCCCTCCTCTGGACCCGTTCTAACAGATCCATGTTCTTCATCAGGGACTCAGAACAACAGCCCTAACTCACAGGAGTCCCTGAGGAGGTGTATTCCAGCCCCAGGGCGCTTAGAGTACAGAAAAGCTGAATTCCTATAGAGATGAGGAAAAGGACAAACTAGGGAGAAGTCTTAGTTCCTTTCCAGCCTGTCTTTCCAGCTCCTGCTGCTCCTGTAACTGGAAGCAGTGGGGTTATGCTTACCCCAGCCATGGCCCTGGGCACAAAATCCAAATGTAGTCTTTCACCCATTCATGCTGTCTGCAGCCATCCAGGAAAGGGGTCCTGAGGAACACTGGCTGCTGGGCTGAGGCCAGGTCCCTAACCATCACATCAAGCACACTGGCAGAAGGCAGGCAGTGCTTTTCTACTCAGGAAGTTTCACAGACCTTGAGGTGAGAAGGTGCATGTTTCTTTGCAATAGCTACTGCTATGGAATTTCTTCTCGCCACCATGACTAACAACAACAACAAAAAAATAGTCCCACAAAACACAACCACACACAGCCTCCCCCTTCCCAAAAAACCCACTGACTTCCTCCCAGCAGAGCATGTTCTTCATATTTAGCAGGACTCTGGCACCTGCCCTGGTCCCACAGCAGAAGAGGCTCCTTCTCAGTCTGCCTGACACGCGACAGGAGGGAAGTCAGGACCGTATATGTTCCCTCAGCACTGTCATCTGGCAGGAGTTGTCCAGCTACTGGCACAGGCTTTAGCTTCAAATCCAGTTCACTGAACCCACCACATGCATCATATCGGGTTGCATAGCCTGCATGGGGAAAAAAAGTAGACTCCTCCTCACTGGTTTTGTATATTACTATGTGTATCAGTTCCACAGGGGCTGTCTGATGTAGAGATCAGCAGCACCCAGTCCTCCATCTCCAGTTAATTCAGGGCCTTTAGCAAGTCCTTCCTCAGATGCTTTGTATCTGCCTGTGAGGAAGAAAAGGGATCACAAAGGATCACAGTAAATGGGATCACGTGCAATCTGACGACCCACAGCTGATCAGACATGTACAAGGATGTCTCCTCATACATCCAAGGAAAGAAGATGTACACGCTTGAAAACTACATATTGCAGTTGTGTTCAGTTATCTTCTAAACACTGTTGCTGTTATCGCAAGAGATTTGTTTTAGCTCTTACTAAATCATTTATTTGTTTCATCATTAAGCACGCCTTGTGTTTGGGCCAAGATGAACAGATTGAAATCAGAAACTTAACAGCATATTTCTTGTATGGTATAACAGAGCCTGTGAGACATTTTGGAATATCGGGTACTCAGACACTGTAGTTCAGAGGATCAAGTTCTGGCTGCAGGTTTGCAGGGGGTCAGCAGCCGACCATCACTGGGAAGGCACTCCCTAGAGAGTGCACGAGAACCCAACCCCTGCCAGAAGCAGGGACCACTCGCTGGCTGTTGGTACATCTCCAGCTGTCACAACTTCCCCACAAGAGGCAGTAATTAAGGACAAAGCAAGGAGAATAAAGTTGAGTTGAGCTCCCTTACTTGGATACTTTGTGTACGGGAGGAGGACAAAGTGGTACCAGGAGCCTTGTAGTCCAGCGCAGTATTTCTGCTTTGCACAGGCCGGGAGGAGAACGGGAGGGCACCCATCCAGCAGAGAGGAATGGCAGCAGCAGGAGAGCGGTGATGCCACCCTCCCATTCAGACACTCACCAGCACTCAGGGAACCACTGCTGGAGCTGCTGCTCCATCTGCTCCCTCATGCCTACTGTGTCCAACTCATGCAGCTTCCCATGGACATACAATAGCATGTGCTGGTACTCAGCTTCGTAGTCAGCCCAGTGTGGGTGCTGCAATTCTTTCCCCAGCTGTACCCACAACAGAGCAGCTGAAATCCTTGGGTTTGCAGGGTTCTGCAAAAACACAAGTGCAAGAGCTTGCTGGAGAGTAGGCACAGCTCTGTATTGACCATGGAGCACAGGTGAAGGACACCTGGGAGACAGTCCCATCACCAGGCAGGCCACACACATCCCCATTCCAAAGGCCAGCACTCCACTGTGCTGCCCACGTCCCTTGCTACTCTTGCTGCAGATAACACCAGGCCTGCCTTATCAAGTAAATTTCTCCCTTGTGCCAAGCAGAAGCAGCCATGGTGGGGAAGAAACATTAGGAGCATCAGAAAGAGGTTGTGTGGGGAGCGAGCAGCGTGCGTGTAAACGAGCCTGTAACGAGTTTGTAATATGCATGTGTGGCACGGCCTGCGCAGCGTCATCACAATGGCATAGGCACTTTCCCGCCTCATTGCCTCCCAAATGGATTTTAAATATCATTCCGAGGACACAATTATTTAAAACGCTGAACTAAACACTCGCTAATGGGAAAACGGCGTGTGGCCTGCAGCAGCCATTCCTCATGGGGCCACTCTGCCCATGTCATCCCCTTCTCCAGCCCCACACCCTTCATGGGGCCACATGGAAGCCTCCTCTTCCTCCCACCCAGAGACCATATAGGATACCACTAGGTAACTCTCTGAAGCCTATTGAGTACATGGGAATACATTTTTCACTCTCCTTCCATTTCTGTCCTCAGGTCACAGCGAAGCTCTCTGCTCTGCCCCAAGCTTCTCAGCACCGGGGGCACGGTGAGCCTGCTACCGGGGCTCTGAGCAGCCCCTGGCTGCAGCTCCATATGCGAGTATCAGGGCCTGAGCAGGCAGCAGGTCTTTCAGTCTTCCTGCATGTTTGGCAGGAGGCAATGCAGGGCAAGAACAGGCCATTAGAACAGGCATGCTTTCTGACCCACATTGTTATCTGGCCCTAGAAATTACAGATATCAAAGAAGACTGACTTTCTCACAACATTGACTTGGGAATAACTCTCCCATCCCCACCCCACAGTCCTTGGCAGAGGAGATGAAGGAAGCAACATTATTGTTGGCTACATCCAGGACTCCAGAGTGAACAGAGTATGAAGAGAGACAACAAACAAGGAAACAAACTATTTGCAACAATCCTTGCTGGGGAGAGCATAGATGGAGAACAGCTCTAAGAATGCCATGGATCCTTAGTCCCTTTACAGTGTTGGCAGTACCAGGAATAACAAAGCCTCAGACAGCAATGTGTGTGTTCATGGGGGAGTGTCTGTCTAGCCTTTGATCATCATTCATTTGCCATTCTCCAGGCAGGGATTCTGGGCTGCCATGAGTTAGGGACTTGACATTATTCGGAGAAAACACCATCTCAGACCAAACCAGAACAGGGAAGGGACATAGACCAGCACTGACCCCACTCTCCATCTCCTGCAGCTGAGCATAGAGAGGAAGAGAGTCACTGTCCCTTGCTGTGCTGGTACCCTGGCTGCACTTCAGAGGTTCATCCTTTAACAGCTTTGGCATCACCAGAGCTATCCATCACCAGCTTGTTTTCCTCTGAGTGCTGAACCATTCCTGCCTATGCTATTTGGAACAGCATCTAATGATGCACCAGAGCAGCCACCTGGCAGCACTGCTGCCAAGGGACACAACAACATGGGAATAGAAATGCACACAGGTCTGCACACTGGTGCTAACCTCCATTGCCCAAAAAGCTCCCTCCCTCCAGACCTGCCCCACTCATCACAGACCAGTAAGATGTGCCCCATGGTCCTCCACCCTATGAGAGAAAAGAGCCCAGACTAATAAGTCATTGCTCTTATGCAAAAGGAAAGCAGACCACACAGGAATTACTGATATTTTTCTGAACACTTTGCTCAATTCATTTTATCAAGCTATAGTGTTCTTTTGGAGGATTTGAGAAGTGCACCAAAGCAAAAAAGAAGCTGCTTTTGGCCCATTGGCATGTTCGGTTTAGTAAGATCAAAGCAGGTGGACATGGGGCCAGGAATGTGCAATGTGACAGTGCTGCACTACAGTAATAAGAGCTCACTGGGAGACTTGGAAAAAAGACAGACTTGCACAGACTGAGGCAGTCCCACGACAGTTTGGAAGAGTAACTGCATGGGCTCCAAGCTAACATTTGCTTCTTACTGGCTTCTGGATCACTCTTACAGCAACCAATTTCCCTGCTGTTTGGCACAGCCTACTCCCTCCTCCCAAAACAACTTCATTCAGACCCCTCATGATCCAACAGAGCACCAGGGCACAAACAGCCATGGAGCCACAAGTCCAGTCTGGAAGAAGCTGAGCTGTGAAGCTTTCCTCACAAAAGCATCAGAGAAGCATAAAGAGTAGTCCCTCCAGAGACAGACCGCGTACAGCATCTTGTGCAGGTTTATCAGAGCAGCTCCATCTGGACATACTGTGGGGAAGCAAGCAGCATGGCCCCTGCACAGGGGGGTCGAACCTGCCCCCATGGGGAAATGCAGAAAAGACAATCTGGACAGGTTCAGTGCAGAACTTGCCATTCCAAGACCAAACATCTCCTTCTGCCACCCAAGCTTGATGCATCTTTGCTGTAGGCCCTTCCAGATCTGAGAAAACAGTGATGTAGAAGGGACATGGGGCCAATCACCAATTCCATCCTTTGTGGTCCCTAGCAAAAAAAAAAAAAAAAAAAAAAAAAAAACAAAAAAAAAAAACAGTGTTGGAGACATGAAGCAGGAGTGGGATACACCAATTGCAGTATTGGACAACCAAGCACCTGCACCACTAAAGCCTTACCCCTTTTGGGCTCACCCAGTGCTAGATGCTCTACTGGACCTGTCAGGAGACAGCCACTCTTGTCTCCCAGTATAACAGCACCTTGCCCAGCTATCTGCTAAGGAAACCAGGCTACCACAGAGGGAAAGTTACATGGTCCAAAGGCAGTCTGCTTGGAGCTAGGCAGCACCAGGCTCCTGCTCACTGAAGAAATACGTTTGAGATCAGGCAGTCGGAGAGAACCACCTCCAGGGCAGAAGCAGAACTGCAGTTCCGAGCTCTGTACGGGCACTTCCATCCCACAAAAAACATGACTGCACATCTGGGGCCGGGGAAAGCAAAGTGCCGCTGGGGAGATGCAGACGCAGTGGCATAGGGAGCACCAGCACAGCCCAGGCGAGGAGAGGGACTGCTGACCTTTCAGATGCGAAATGGCAGCGTGCCCACAACCCGGCTCTTCAGCTGGACTCTCCCAGGCCTGTTTCCAACACTCCACATCCCGTCGAATCTCCCCCATGAACCTGTCTCGCAGGCACCCCAGGTCCATCTGCTCTTCCACCTGCAGCAGCTGCACAGCCATCCCACAGCACGGCTGGCTGCAACTGCTGGAGGGGATAAAGAGACCACAGCCCTGTCAGGTGGGAGACTGCTCTAACACTTGTGCTCCAGACCAGTTCCAGTTTATGTGGCAGGGCGCTACAGGAACAGAGCACTATTCAATGCTGTCCTACAGTCAGAAGAAAACAGAGCACCCAGTACAGCCTCATCATCCCCCTTCTCCGCACTGGAGCAATAGGGCTGGGACCAGAGCTGATGCGTTCAGTCCCAGCTCTGCCACCTCCTGTACTCCGGGAGCATCTTGTCCGTGACCCCGCTGCTGAGACACACTGACCCTGGTCACACAGACAAGCACCTGTCATGGCTCCATAGCTCATGAGACTCGTCACCACCTCACAAGCCCTGTGAAGATCTGAGACTGCCCCACACACAGTAACCTGGGTTCCACCACAGCTCCGGTCCTCCTCCTCCTGATACTCCTACCCCTGTTTTTGCTGCCACTGGGAGACCTTGGAATGGGAACATCCAGTCCCACCATCAAGGTGGCAAAGCTCCACTACGTCTCAGCTCAGAGCATAGCCCACGTCTTTCCTCTATTCTACCATAGACCCAGAGGTAACTGCTCCATGTAGAAACCTGGGGGCAGCTTTGTAAATCAGCTCACCACCATTCGTCTGGACACAGCACTCACTCTCAGCCCTTTGGGCTGCACAAGCCCCACGTAGACCACTACAGCAAGCAATCCACTAATGTTCCCTTCAGGGCCTCACTCGGGTAAGAAGCACCTGGGATTACAAACTTCCTTGTCAGCTTGAGAAGTGGCCAGGACCAGTCATTAACATAATGATTTGAGGCAGAGCACAGGACCCTCAGTCCCAGCACAGTTTATAACTCCACTGAACAAAGCTCCCTCTAAAGCCATTGGAAGCAACAAGAGAGATGACATCTAGAAGTTCTGTAAAGAAAATCCCCTTTGTGTCTCCTGCCAGTCCAGCTGCTTTTTGCACTATTTCTTTTCCCCATACCAGAAAGGGAGAATTTTTCACTAGGACAAAAATAGACTTTTGAAAATTCCTTATAAGAAAAACTCCACCCACTGTAAACTTTCCCTCTGTGTCAGTGGGACTTCTGTCTCTACTCTGGTACAAATAGATAAACTGAATGCTGATAACTTGGACTGGTGCAAAGAGGCTGTTCTGGTTTCAGTTAGAACAGAGTTAATTTTCCTCCTAGTAGCTGGTAGAATGCTGTGTTTTGGCTTAGGATGAGAAGAGTGCTGATAACACCCCGATGTTTTAATTGTTGCAGAGCAGTGCTTACACCAAGCCAAGGACATCTCAGCTTCTTGTTCTGTCCTGCCAGCAGGCAGGCTGGGGGTGCAGCAAGAGCTGGGAGGGGACAGACCCAGAGCAGCTGACCCAAACTAGCCAAAGGGGTGTTCCATTCCGTCTGGGGTCATGCTAAATGACAGATTGGTGGTCGGACTGCTTGGGGTTAGGCTGGGCATTGGTCAGGGGGTGGTGAGCAATTGCATTGTGCATCACTTGTTTGTACACATTATTACTAGTAGTACTATTATCATCATTGTTGTTATTATTGTTATTATTATTGTCATTATTATTTTCCTGTCTTAATAAACTGTCTTTATCTCAATTCACAGGCTTCACTTTCCCATTTCTCTCCCCATCCCAGAGAGGGATGGATGTCCATATCATAACAATCCTGATGTCCATAGGTCAAACTAACCTTTGCATTATAAATTACGAGGCAAAGACATTATCTGTGTTTTTAAAGTGTATTTGCAGATTTTGCTTTTACTGTTACATCAGACCAAATACCAAATCCCACAGGACTCCACAAGAAGTAGAGTCACCATCCATGATCTACTGTTAACAATTTGCTGAGAGCTAGATAGCTCAGAAACAACTACATGCTATTTGGGTGCTCTAGTTAACATATAGAACTAATTAAAGCCAAAGCAATTCTTTCTAAAAATTAGAAGTGACAAGACTGTGACATTATCTATTAAGTTGATGATTTGATACAATCTTCTCTATATAAACCACTTCAATTACTTATGTTCCAAACCTTTAAGTTTAGGCTGCACAGGCCCCACCAGTGCCCACGCCCAACAGTGACACCCCCCTCAACACAACCCCACAGAGCCATGACAGATGGGGTGCAGCCAAGGCAGAAAGGTTTAATTGTGGCCCAGCGGTCACTTGCTGCTGGTATACTTGGTGACAGCCTTGGTGCCCTCAGAGACAGCATGCTTGGCCAGCTCGCCAGGCAGCAGGAGCCGCACAGCCGTCTGCACCTCGCGGCTGGTGATGGTGGAGCGGTGGTTGTACTGGGCCAGGTGGGAGGCCTCTGAAGCCAGCCGCTCGAAGATATCATTGACAAAGGAGTTCATGATGCTCATGGCCTTGGAGGAGATGCCGGTGTCAGGGTGCACCTGTGAAACGGTAACCAAGTGCTGTGTCATATCACCATCACCAGGCAGTGAGACCCCACACTGCCAGGAAAAGGGTCCTCCTTCCTCTTCCCCTCCCACCCCCTGGATTCTCATGTTGCATTCCAGTTCCATTGGACTGAAGAGGTCCCTGTGGTACTGCATTGGCTGTGACATTGCACTGACAGGAAGCCTCTGAATAGTCCCACAGGGAAAACAATCCTACAAGGAGCGTAGGTGCCCCACTGCTATGGCCACCTCTCCAAAGACTTTCTCCTCTCCCCAACATAGGCTGACAAGTCTCAAAATCTCCAGAAATTATGAAGTTTTTAATACTTACTCATAGGGAGAATGACAGGTAAAACTGATTTCTACTCAGTTACTTCCTTATACAGTCATACAGTAGAGTTCCTTCTGCCTATGAAACCCTTTCTGATCCAGATCCGTCTCATCTCCTACTGAGAGATTGGTTGCCACACCCCATTTTATACTCAGCTGGAGTTCTATACTGTCTCACTCAGGTTTTTTTATCTCACTAAAAAGCACATTTTCCTCTTTTCCTTTTTACAGAGTTAACACACAGTGAGCAGAAGTAGTTTTACATGTGAAACAGTTCTTACCACTAGAGAAACATTTACTCACTTGCTTCAGTACTTTGTAGATATAAACTGAATAGGTTTCCTTTCTTTTGGGCTTTCTCTTAGACTTCCTGTCTCCAGAAGTGGAAGCATGACCACCACGCTTCTTCCCAGCCTCTGCACTCATCTTAGCCCCTTCCCCTGAGCAAGCTCTAACAGAGCAACCATGAGCTACCACGGGGTTAGTTATATAGCAAAGGCAGCAGCCCTTCACATGCCCCAGGTGCAGTCCCCAGGGAGTGTGAGGGATGCACATCTGTGGCTGATGATTCCACTTGGCACTAGCCACAGGGCAGCTGGCCTTAAAGGCACTGATTCAATTAAACTTTCAGACCTGAGAAGCTTGAGGGTAATACTGGCAAAGACATGCATAAGAACAGTAGTGTCCCATTCACATGGGGCAGAAGCACCAGAGAAGAGCTAATTATGGGTCTGAAGGACGGTTCCTGCTTTGGCAGAAGGGTGTAAACTGAAGTACTCAAGGTATTGGTGTTGGGACACTGTCCTGGTTTCAGTTAGAACAGAATTAATTTTCTTTCTAGTAGCTGGTGGAATGCTGTGTTTTGGCTTAGGATGAGAAGAGTGCTGATAACACCCCGATGTTTTAATTGTTGCAGAGCAGTGCTTATACCAAGCCAAGGACATCTCAGCTTCTTACTCTGTCCTGCCAACAGGGCAGGCTGGGGGTGCAGCAAGAGCTGGGAGGGGACAGACCCAGGACAGCCACCTCTGTGCTGTGGCACAGGTGGTACAGTCAGTTGAGACTCGGTAAATGAACGTAACATTGGTCTAGTGACTGAATGATAGCATTAAACAACCTCCTAACAGCCAGTGTTCCTCCCACAGTGGATTCTGACTCTGTTCTTATCGGTGGCACGCACTGGGCACGAACCTGCAGATAACATCTCACCCAGTCTGCGCTGGGTCATCCTGCCTGCTTCACACAACAGATTCTTCAAGGGAAGGACGGAAGGGAAGCAGCGGGAGGAGAGGGCCGACATCCTGAGTGTGTGTTTGATCTGTCTTGGAAACCAATGATCACACTAGTGGTGATAATTATGATACAGAAATTAGGCTGTGCCAGGGAAAAAAGGAAAGGAAAAAAAAAAATCCAGCAACATAGTAGAGCTGTGTTACTTTAGTCTGAACAGAAGAGAAAATGAAGCCTTTCTCTCAGCAGGCACCAAAACACATATTTTGCAAAATTGCAATACTAATATATACCTCCAGCTGAGGGGACGTCCATATCTCTGCAGTGCCCTGCACACTGTCTCCTATGCAGGGGCTTACATTATATTGCTCACATGGCAAATCCTTAGCAAGTCTCATCTTCCAAGGGCTGAGCCTGGGAGACATCCTGCATCAGTCACTGTCAGTAGGGCCAATAGCATTTCACTGAATTCAGTTTTGTTCTAGGTCTGTCCTCATGGGGAGGCATCTGATGGCTCATCCTTAGTGCAAATAGAAGTCACAGTGACAGAGGGGCTTCTTGCACCCATCAGCTGAAACGTGAATGAACGTGTGGGACATGCATGCCAGCACATCTGTGGAGGGGAATAAGAGGGAAGAAATGGGAATGTGGAGGCTTGGGCACAGAAGGTAAGAGGTAGCAAGATCCTTCTGGGAATAGAAGTAGCATATGCATTGATGTCTGTCAACATCAAGAGACAGTGGATGATTCATACTGGGAGGAAGGAGCTGGCAACATCACCACTTTTCTTTTGAAAGAGGCCATGCACTGGTTAAGTACAGCACAGGGCTTCCCTCTCTGATGTATGCTCTACCCACCAAATGATTTACCAAGCTGTAAATGGCAGAGATGCTTTAGCTGGGTGTGGAGTTTTCTCTGTGACTGGAACTATTTACCTTTTCCATCAGTCAGAGCACACAAAAGATCTCCAATGCTAATAAAGTTTTTATGTGTTATAAGTGATACCTGTCCCCAGCTACAGCTGCGTCTGGTATTGGCAGTTATACACACGTATTTTTTTCTGTATTGTTTTTATTGTTTTTTTGTTTGTTTGTTTGTTTGTTTTCTGAGAAAATGTTAAGTTAGAAGGAAACCCTTTGATGGACATGGATCAGTGACAGCATTGAACACTGGGATCCATCATATAGCAAGGATGGAAGGTCATCCACTCAGCAGTATAGTCAAATTTGTGTTTCCATATTTATGGAATTAACACATTCTTACTACTTTTGCACAAATCTGTTTCCCTATATTACATGTGCTAACGGCTGTCCATTCTGGAAGCTGTGTGTTTGGCTTGACTTATCATTGTGCTACTTTTGTGATGTATGTATTGACCACAGTGATGAGGGAATCACACAACTGCACTTGAAGTTATATCTGCCACTTCTAGTTGTAGCTGTGTTATAGGCAACTTCTTTGTCAGACTACAGGCAAGAGCAACTGTGCAGAGGCTCTAGGACAGTTCTTTTACTATTCAAGCAGATAAGGAGCAATTTTCTTAATTTGTCTAGATACAGTTTTGCTTTTGTGCATGATTAGACAAGCCCTAGCTGAAACACTGCAAAATGCCATTGCCCTGGCTAGTGTCTGCCTCTCACACAGCAATCAGTACTCCAGGACATACGTCTGCCAGAGCTGCTTCAGTGCAGCCTGACAAACTGTCACCACTGAACAGGTTTAAATCAAGGCTGAAAAACTAGACTGCTAAAACATGCATAGATATTCAATTTTACAAATCCTGGCATACTGTGACCTCTAGTGCATTTAGAGCTACTTCTGCTTTGAACATGTAGCTATGGACTTGTTTGCTAAATCAGGAATCTGCAACTCAATTTCTTCTCTTGCTTTGTAGCAGCAGACAGCTAACATAACTCTCCTATTTGCTTGTGGTGCTTTTACTCAGGCAGGCAGCTGAGCTGCACCACCACCACTCTCTCACGCCTCCTCCTCCAAGGGAGGAGAAAAGAGAGGAGGAGAAAATATGATGAAAAGGGCTCAAGCGTTGAGATAAGGACAGGGAGATCACTCAACAATTATCATCACAGGCAAAACAGATGCAGCATAAGGAGATTAATAAAATCTATTACCTATTACTAACAAGCTAGAGCAGTGAGAAACTAACTAACTAATTAACTAATAACTAAATCTCCCCTCTACCCAACCTCTTCTATGACCTCCCCCTGAGTGGCGCAGAGTGGGGCTGTGGTCAGTCCCTGATGCTTTCTCTCTGCCACTCCTTCACCTGCCCCTGCTCCCTGTGGGGTCCCTCCCACGGGATGCCATCCTTCCCAAACTGAGCCTGTGGGGGCTGCCCACAGGCAGCAGCTCCTCAAGCACTGCTCCCACACAGCTCAGTCCCACGGGGTCCATCCCCCAGTCCCAAACTGCTCCAGCACGGGCACCCAAGGGTGGGGGCAGCTCCCCCCAGCCCCCCTGCTCCTGCGTGGGCTCCTCTCCATGGCTGCAGCTGCGGCCCGGGGCCTGCTCCTGTGGGGGCTCTCCATGGGCCGCAGCCTCCTCCAGGCCACAGCCACCTGCTCCACCGGGGGCTCCTCCACCCACAGGGGGGCAGCAGCGTGGAGATCTGCTCCATGTGGGACCCATGGGTGCAGGGGGACAGCCTGCTCCACCAGGGGCCTCTCCCTGCACAGCCCGCAGGGGAACTGCTGCTGTGAGCCTGGAGCACCTCCTGTCCCCCTTCACTGACCTTGGTGTCTGCAGGGCTCTCTCACCCAGCTGTTGTTGTGCAGCAGTTTTTTCCCTTTCTCTGCTTTCCCAGGGGCAAACAACATTGCTCATTGGCCCAGCTCTGGGCAGCAGCGGGTCCCTGTGGAGCTGTCTGGAACTGTTCCTTACCTAACATGGGGCAGCTTCTGCTTTCTCCTCACAGAGGCCACCCCTGCAGCCCCCCACTACCAAAACCTTGCCATGTAAACCCAATACATTGCTCCATCGCCTAATAAGAATTCTCCAATCACGCCTGCTCTCTCATTCCAATATTCCTATGCCCTCCTCAGAATTTACCACTCCCAGAGAATTCAGTCTAAGATTATAACCTGCATTTATTATTGCCACCATGGTCCTTGAGTACACAGATATGAAACGTGGTGATAGAGTCACTGCCAAGCCTTTACTAAGAATAAGCAACAGCAAAAGGAACAGCTGTAGCCTCAGGCAAGACTTCCAGACCTCATCATTCTCATAGCTACTTTGCAACCCTTTTCAACTCACCAACATCTTTTTAAAACCTAGAGAGCAGAACTATCGAAGACTTGCATTCATCGATTCTCATTTTAAATTCTGTGCTACCAGTCAGTCTTTACCCTACTTACTTGTGTGCAGCTTGCTTTTTCTCCTTCACTACCTCTGTCATAGTGTGGTACCTGGAAGCTAACATTCTCATTCAAGTGACCTTTCAGTGCATTCTAGACTTCTCTGCAAAGCTAACTTAAACAACATTTATATTAATATCCATTATTTTCGTAGAAAACACTTTTTTCCCCCTCAATCTCCAATCATTGCTAAAAACACTGAAAAAAATAAATGTTCTGCAGTATCTACTGGAAGCAGCTCCTCCTGTGACATTTGTCCTGTGGATGATACACAATGCTTCCACAGCAGCAGTCTACAACTTGGATGGTCCCTTTGGAAAAAGCAAGGGAATACTTTCATAGAATAGCTCAGGTCAGAAGGGACACCTTAAAGATCATCTGGTTCCAAACCCCCTGTTTATGGGCAGAGAAGACTTTTTTGAGCAAAATTACTTTGCTCAAAAGGCCAGAGCCACAGACAGCATCTGAGAAAGTATAACTACGTTTTTGTCTTGTTCTTCAAATTCTCTGTCAATGATTCCTATTGGAATAGGTTATTGGATTACGTGAACCTTTCACATGACCAGTGCTGCCACACACGTGTCATAAGTAATGAAAATGATAGCTCGTGATCATAAGAAGGTATTTAGTTTGATTTGGTATTTTTTTAGTGCCTTCTCATTGTTTTAAAAATACATGTATAAGTATTTTCAAGAAATTATTCAAGCTGCTGTGGCAAAGTGCAGTTTAAACAACAGCTTTTAAAAAAATTGTCAGGAACAACAACAAAGAAAAGTTAAACTAACTTTAGCTGATCAGTCTTGTTTAGTTAAACCCAGAAGGAAGAAATAATTAGTTCATAGTCCAAAAATCCAGATTTAATAAGAGCCTCATATTAGATCCATAGAATTCAAGATGAAGGGAAAAAGATGCATCTAAGTTGCTCTGTTGTAGAGAACAAGTGCTGGTATTCTATAGATCTATGTTGACTCTCTCATTTCAAATCTTCGGAACCCTTTCAAGTTGTATTTGTTAACAAGAGAAAAAAAAAAAAAAAAAAAAAGCATGTGTGGCTTGCTCCCCCTTCTGTCATTATCTGGAAAACCCAGTGTTCAACGTGAATTAGCTGTTTTCCCAGCTGCAAGAATCGTCGTACTCTGCTCTGTACAATTCCAGAGCCGAGTACTCACACCTTCATTTATACCACAAATTCTGGTCATAACAAGAGGACTTTGGTAATAGTAAAGAAACAAACCCTCACTTCATACGAGAGCCCTGCATCCTTACTCGTAAAGCTCAGTACTGGCTGATTTGCCCCAGCATGCCCCAATAACTACTACAGCTCACAAAACAAGACTGTTCTTCCCTCTTTATTGACTGATCAGGCAGATCTGTTAATTACACTGTTAAATAATAGTTAAAAACAAACCAAGGCCAGAGGAGTTTGAAGTGAAGTATCTAAACCGAAGCAGAAATTGGGAAGGAGGAGGCAGGGTAAGCTGGGCTGGGGTCTTCACTTCTGTATCACTGCAACTCAGACACCCTAACTGCCACGACCCCAGACCGTTAGATTCCAAGGCCTGGCTCAGATGGGACATCATCTAAATATGGAAATGGTTGCCCAAATGCAGCCAGATCAGGAGAGAAGAGATCTGTCCAGATACAGAGGTGCAAGGCAAGTCAAGGGAAAGCAGTATTGCAGCAATCCTAGAACACAGCCACAGAGATAGCAGCAGTCCCATTCCAGTCGGCAGGTGAGTGAGTCTTGTTGGCCACTGTCAGTCTCCACAGAGAGCACCTGACCGACTGCTCTAGAGCTCACACATTGTGGGTCTTCTTGGTGAGCTGTGGGTCTTCATCCACCAACTTTGACTTGAGATGTTCCTTATAGGCGAGGATGTCACCTTGCCACTTTGTGATTGTCTGCTTCTCACAGACCCAGATCTCCTGTGCAACCTATAAGCAAATACACAAGGAAAGGAAGGTTTGTAGTGCAGCATTTTATAATTTTACCAAAAATATAAAATTAACCAAAATCTACTCTCTGAAGGAGAGAGAGTCTATTAAGCAAGGAGAGAGTCTATTGAGTTTCACACATTTGACTACCAAAGATATCTGCAGTGAAATATCCCACCTGGTGTTTTCTGAATAATTTATACAGGATTTTAGAACTAACAGTCCTTGAACCCTCTACATTTATTTTTTTCGTTCATGGAATAAGAAATTCACTTCCTGCTAAGCTGGGAATCGGAAAAGGTAGTTCTTGACATGAACTACCCAGATATGCTGCACTGTGTATCGCACAAAAATAAAATTGTATCTGAACTTGCAGACAAAGCTATAGTTGATAAATCAACACCTGATATTTCTGTGTATATGGAGTGACCTCCTTAACATGTAGAGATGGAGTGATAAAGAAAACAGCTAGAACTACTCCAGTATCATGTAAAATAATCTAGTTAAAGCCTCCACATGTGTCATGATTTCCATTTAACTTACTCTTCATTTTTAGCACTTTTTTTTTCTTTCACATGCCTACAATGTTTTCCAAGGTTAGGTAATTATTCCACATGAACATGGCAAGGGAATCATATGCAGTGATATTTTTCACTCACGCATCTTTTCAGGATAAGGAACAGCTGAAAACAGTTGAAAACATCTTGCTTTAATTACTCAGTGTAGGAAAGTTGGTTTGCCAAAATTCACCACTCTTCTTACCTGCTGGATGAGTCTGAAGTCATGGCTGACAAGCATCATTCCTCCTTCAAATTCGTTGATAGCATCTGCCAGAGCATCTATTGTTTCTATGTCCAAATGGTTGGTGGGTTCATCGAGGAAAAGCATGTGAGGATTCTGCCAGGCCAGCCATGCAAAGCACACGCGGCACTTCTGCCCATCAGAGAGGTTCCGAATGGGGCTCACCTGACAAACACAGACACTATTTGCAGCTCTGCAGGGTACCTTATAGCACCAGCTCCTAGATGCCACACTGACCACAAAATATTCACAGTTCAAACTGTGTTTGCTGCAGCTACATGACACAACAGGACAAATGTAGGCTTACAACTAGACTAGGCTTCCTTTACCAGCAAAACAAGTGAATTCCAAAGGCTTCCGAAAAAGGAGTGCCCATAGCAAGATTCAGCTTGTGTTAGAGGT